AAACCAGGTCTAAACCAGGACTAAACCAGGTCTAAACCAGGTCTAAACCAGGTCTAAACCAGGACTAAACCAGGTCTAAACCAGGACTAAACCAGGTCTAAACCAGGACTAAACCAGGTCTAAACCAGGACTAAACCAGGTCTAAACTAAACCAGGTCTAAACCAGGACTAAACCAGGTCTAAACCAGGTCTAAACCAGGTCTAAAACAGGACTAAACCAGGTCTAAACCAGGTCTAAACCAGGTCTAAACCAGGACTAAACCAGGTCTAAACCAGGTCTAAATCAGGACTAAACCAGGTCTAAATTAGAGCTAAAACTAGATCTAAACCAGGACTAAACCAGGTCTAAATCAGGTCTAAAACCAGGTCTAAACCAGGACTAAACTAGATCTAAACTAGATCTAAACCAGGTCTAAACCAGGACTAAACCAGGTCTAAACCAGGTCTAAACCAGTTCTAAACCAGGTCTAAACCAGGTCTAAATCAGGACTAAACCAGGTCTAAATTAGAGCTAAAACTAGACCTAAATCAGGACTAAACCAGGTCTAAACCAGGATTAAACCAGGACTAAATCATGCCGCGTGGACGTGTCTCCTCGTCTTCTATAAATAATATGTTTAATTTGTTTAAGTAAAGTCTGGGCTTTTTATTTTCTTTTATCAGACAAAACATCTTAGGTTATGATTTCCTCGTCTTTGCTTCTCTACAGAAAATCAAGTAATCCAAAGTATTCAGATTACGTTACTCGGTTTAAGAAATTTAATGGATTATGTTACAAACTACATTTTGGTGTATGTAATCTGTAATCTGTAGGGGATTACATTTTTAAAGTAACACTCCCAACACTGCTCATACTATTATTATTTTGTTGGCGTTAATTTAAAGAGAACAACAACAGCAAAACAAAACCTGACAATTGACATAAATATATATTCCAACCATTATTTGTTTTGTCTTTTCTGCATGAATAAAAGGAACAGGAAGAAGTGACGTCTTATAAACTCTGCTCCTTTCACAGATAAAACAAAATACAAATAAATAAAAATAAAAAACTGACTCTAATGAGCTTCAAGTCATGTTGTAAAGCTGTTACCTCATCCAAAACATATGTGGAGTTGTGTTTTGTTTCATCCGCACGTGATTGAGCAACACTTTATTATTAGTCTGTCTGCATCTCCGACGCACAAAACGCTCTGTTCCACCTCGTGATGTTTCAACTTAACAGCTAATTTACCTTTAGTTCAGTCGATATGAGCAATTCCAGGGCTGAAAACATCCAAATGATGGAGTTTAAAAGCACAGCGGGGAGTTTCCCGTCTCACCACATGACATCACAAGGTGGAACAATGCCCATAATCTTCATTGAAGCGTTAAAAACAGCAGATGTGCTGCTTTACTCTATACTGAAACCAGTCTATGATCGATTCTTTGCAGTGACATCACTCTGGGGGTGTTCTGCCTGTATGTTTATGACGGAATGTGCGGAAAATTTCATGGTGACGCGTTGCATTGAACTGCAAACACCGTCAAGGGAGCTTTAAGAACACACTTTCAAGAGCCTGTGATAAATACGAGCGCTCGTGGTCCTGTTTAGGAATGAAAGTGACTAACTGAAAAACTATTGGCCAATGCTCAGTAATTTGTCACTGTAATGTCATTTGAGAATAGGTGACCACATAGTCCCAGTTTTGAGCCTCTGTGTCCCCTGTGATTTATCCAAAACCACTGATTTGTCCCAGTTTTATACAAGAAATCTCCCAGGTGTCCCTATTTTTGACCAGTTTGACACCTGCCAACAGTAAAGAGAGGCATACATTGTCATTTGTTTAGGTAAAATACAAAAAAAAGAGACCAAAACGCTAAGAAAATGTGACTATACTGGCTCACATGTCACTCATGAATGGTCTCTGCATAACAGTTTTCCTTAATTACACACTGGTTACACAATTTTATTATCACCAGACACCAAAAAAAAAAACAAAAAACAAAAAAAAAAACGGGGATGTTCCAGTTTTTTATTTTGAAATTCTGGTCACCCTATTTTATTTGAGAGGGACTTGTTTAAAAGCACAAATCACTAGTTTGTTCCTGCAGTTCTGTCTTTCATTGTCATTTGTCGATTGTGATAAAACAAAACAAAACTCGGATTATAGTCGAATTTGAGTAACAGAGCTACAGACAGAGCAGTGCCTACAGTTAGTATCACGTCAAGTACAAAGTTTGTCAATTTCTTCACATGTGATAGACATACAAAGAAATCAAAATGACATTTCTCTCTCTCTCGTGCATACGCGAGACAAGACAAACATTAAAGGTTGTATAGAGGATTGTTTAAGGGAAAAAAATACAGTGACAGTCCTTTTTCAAATGTTGTGCATGAATGACACCACCTTCCTCCTGCACAGCTTCTCAGTAGAAACATCTCCTCCCGTCTCCTTACTCTAGAAATCACACTTGTTTACAGCCAGTGCCCGTTCAGAATTACTGTTGAAGTGACTGTCTAGAATTAATTTAGGGATCGACACATCAGTTTTTGGACTTTTCCTCTGCTTCATTCGCGCAATCGTTGGAAGAGATCTCCAAGAATCACCTCAGTTTGGCTTTGCTCCTTTTTCCTCCTTCTCTTCTTCTTTCAGCGACCTCAAAAACTGACTTTCTTTTGCGGCGAACTGGTCGTGGATTTCTCGTCCGCCATCGCAACAAACTTTGTGCGAACTGCGAGGAAGCGACAGTTTGAAAAAGCTGCTAAGAACCGCCTCATAAACCAAATAACCCCCGCGCGCCAGCAAGTCAGTCACACTAGAAACGTAGGGAGTTTCACTGACAACCTAACAGCCAATAGAAAATGAGGGAGCCTCGTTATCTATTGGCTGATGTTTATCTGGCCTCACTACGTCCACAGTTGATGGATTTTCATTCTTTTTTTTTTGGTCATCATAATCACAAGGCTGCTGCTTCTCTGTAATGGTATTTTAAACTTTCATTGACAATTTGAAACTAAAATGAAAATCCTCCATACAACCTTTAAAGAACAAGACAGGCCAATGTTTACATGCACAGACACAACAAATAACATCATGTCTAACAGCTGCAGTAACCGCAGACAAATAAATTAAGATAAAAACACCAGTGTAGTACATTACATTACATCAGCTGCAAAGTATCAGTAGTTATTAGGCCTATAATTTATATCGTGAAGGCTGTATCAAGTGGGGGTTTGAATATTGTTTAATGAACTTATACATTGAGTTGAACATTGTTTAAAGATTGCATAATTTCCAATCTGTTGATATAACCCAGGGGTGGGCAAACTGCAGCCCGGGGGCCATATGCGGCCCTATAATCTTCTTAATCTGGCCCGCTGAACTTGATAATATTCAGTGTTTTTCATAGTCATTTCAATAAATAGTAAATATCGTGGGACCTGAAAGACAGATATTTTTTTTATAATGCTTTGTAATGATTTTCAATTATGGGATATTTCAGTAACATGGGATATTTTCTACATATCCCATGTTGTAAATAATCTATAGTATAATTTGTCTTGTTGAAATCTCTTGTGACTTTTTTATGATTGTTTTTTGTGTTGCACCATTTTCTGTTGTTGACCATTGACCTGCGCGTTTATTTTGAAGGGTTGATGTTTGTTTATGTTTCTGGTTGCCTTGACAACGAGAGGGGTTTGTTGTATTTATGAGGACCCCCTTGAAAACGAGATGGTGACACATCTCAAGGGGCTTATCCTCCAAACAAATACATTCAAATTCAAACGTTGTGGAGCAAATGTGTCCATATCATTTTTGGTATTTTTCTAAGTTTTTTGTTTAGCTTTCCCTCTGAAGAGGCACAAAGGTATGTTTTTGATGTAAATATTTCTTTGAATAATTTTTTGTGTCTCTAGTTTTTTATCTTTGTTGATTGATGTTGTCTAGATTAATGTAAATATTAATCAATTAAGTTTTGTGAATGTCTATTTACACATTGTATTTGTGTTCCTTTCAGCTCTTACGGCAGATTTGAAGAATTTATTGACATTAAATCAAAAAATCGCCAGTTCAAGTGTCAAGTCTTCATCTTCATCAATCAGAGGGATATGCTACACATGTTATTTTTTTCTCTTATGAGGTGGATTACCAAAAAAACTCCATCCATCTGCTCCTGGTCCGGCCCTTCAGTCAAATTTTAAAACCCTTTGTGGCCCTCGAGTCAAAAAGTTTGCCCACCCCTGATATAACCCACAGGTGTCAAACATAAGGCCTGGGGGCCAGATGCGGTCCTCCAAGACTTTTAATGTGGCCCTCTTCTAAAATATTTTAATTCTATTTTCTATTAAAATCTTGTTAATTTTCTGTGGTGTTTATCACAGCAGCGTCTCCAGCGTCTCTGTACGTGGCCCCTCCCACCAGAGCAGCACAAATGAAGACTTGTCTCTTTCCAAACGCTCTTAAAGGACGATCGTTTTGACTGTTGACCGTGACACCCTCATCAGAAAAATGTCCAACATGAGAAAAGTGGAGCCGAGTGCAGGATTTTACAACAAAAATTGACTTATTCCTGTTTACATACAAGTTCATGTTAAAACATTGTGTTGAAATTTTATTTTTCTTAAAGTTTCAGGTTGTTCATAATATTATAATATTTTGTAAAAGAAAGAGTTCATCAATTAAAAAAGATTTCTGTAATAGATTTGTGTTTCTCTGCACAAATATTTGAACTTATTGTTATTTTTGGGGTATAAATGCTATGAGTTTTCTGATCCGGCCCCTTTGGGATCAAAGTAGGTTGGATACGGCCCCCTGATATAACCTATTCCAATTGATAAATCCCGTATCCTGTGGGTGTGGTAATGTAACTAAACTAATATGGCTTTGCATGTAATCCCCCCCTCAGCTCCTGTTCTGAGCGCTCCCATTGGCTGAGCTTCCCAGTCCTCGCGTTCCGATTGGCTCCTCGCGCTGTCAGTTTTCCGTAACCCCGCCCCCTCCTCCAACCCGTGCGTGCTTCCACCGACTGCGGACGGCGTCGAGCAGCGCGTGTCCAGGAGAGGATAGGACGGAGAAGAGCTTGATTTCATTCATTTTTACGGGGGATTTTCTTTTTTTGGACGCTGCCCTTTCTGCTGCAAACCTGTTGGAATACCTCTCAACACGTGCTCCTGTCCAAAAATCCGGGGGGTGCGCGCGCTTCTTGCTTTGCTTGACTTTAGCCGGGGGGGGAAGATTTGCTGCTCGCGTGCGGGGCGGCATCTTGCCACTGGGGGGGGGGGAAACGAAACAAGTGACGAGAAGAAACCAGCGAACGACAAGTACTCGGCGCTGTTAGCCTGTTAGCTTCGGCGTTAGCCCCGGTCGCCTGCCTCTGCAAGTCCCACCCTCCCGTCACAAGCAGCGTGGACGTGGGTCGGTCGTAAGAGGCTGCGGTGGTCAAGTGCTTCCCCCCCCCCCCACACACCTTCACTTCACTTCACTCCAGCGTTACCGGATCGCCACCGCCGGCTGTGGAAAAAGGGAAGAAGACGGGAGACGGAGAGAGCCACACTAGCCTAGCCCAGCCCGGTTCCTCGACGCTCGGATCGCTGGATTACTAACCCTGACAGGTGGAGGGAGGGATCGCTGAAAAAAAAACAAAAAAAAAACGAGGAGGCGGATAAGAAGAGAAAAGGAGGAAGAAGGGGAACTGGCTGGTTTGGCCGGGGCAGCATAAACGCACGTAAGTCAGCGGCTTCTCTTCCTTCCAGAGGCCTTTGCCCGGGTCTCCTCTTGCAAAAACTATCAGCATGGTCTTTTTTTAATATATCATCGATACAGAAATAAAGCATTGCAGTTTGGCCCCGCTTGTGGAGCTCACTTCTGCTTAGTTTAGATGTAGTTTGACAAGGTTGAGGCGTTTCCACACGCTGGTGCCGTTTCGTTTAGTGCCGCTGTTTGGGAGCAGACGGGCCACCGGCGGAGGGTTTTTCCTCGTCACAAATCGGGCTTTTGTAAGAAACGATTAGCGTTATATCCACGGGTGTAGTGCGGCGGTGCTTAAGCGTTAAACGTGTCCACACGATTTGGACGGCGGCCAGCGGCGGAGCGGCCGAGCGGGTCCATTCAGTCGAGGAGGAGGGGGATTCACGATGATGTGCGCCCGAAGAAACGCTAGAGGAAGCGGGGTTTGCTGCCAGGTTCGGCCCGTTCTCCCCACACCTGTCCGGTCATTCACTCAATACTTACGCTCTGACCGGGTTTCGACTTGCAGCGCTCGAGTTTGCGCTTGCAGTTACGCACGGAAATCCACATTTATTCCCATTAATCTCCGCACGAAACATTACGCCGGTGCTGTTGCTAAGCGCGCATAGCAACCGCGAACCAACGCCACAAACCGCTTCCTCTACGGCAAAACTAACACGTTAAAGGCGTAAAGACTCAATAAAAGAGACTAAAACGAGCTCGAACAGCGACGACAACCCCCCCGTGCCTCGATAGATTAGTCTCCCGCACTGAATAGATCCCGCTGGTTGATGGGTTTAAGTAGTGATGTCGAGATGAAGCCCCATGAAGCACTGAAGCGCTCCATCCATTTGCTCGACTCTTGCGCCGATGCTTCAAGGTGCTTCATTTGCTCCACTGCGCCATCAACAGGCCAAAAAATATATATAACAGGCAGAACAATCAACATGATCATCGAGGTTCTGATGGAAAGATTTATACTGAATAAATGAACGATTAAATAGTTGAATGTTTGTGATTTCAACATACAAAGTGTGAATGTATTAACCTGGAGTCTGTGTTCGTGATATAACGGTCGGGTTAAAAGAAAAAGTAGGAACAAATTGGAGATCAGGATGTAATGTGACTGTGCTCGTGTTACTACTTTATGTCTGTGCTTATGCCACAATAAGGACGGCAAAATAGGGTCATTATTATTCGTTTTCATTTAAAAATATCAATTTCTCCACAGTATTTGGACTCAGACGGTTTCTTTTTTACAGAGAATTTCCCCTGCTTTAAAAAACAAACAAAAAAACGTTCACAGCGCGCACACACACACACACACACACACACACACACACACACACACACACACACACACACACACACACACACACACACAAAAAGAATCTCAAATAGAATGTGCCAAACTCACAATAACTCAAAACCACAAAATGTTTTGGGGGAAATCCGTTGCGTTTCAATGGCCCTAATGTTTCGAAACGCGCCAAATCCGCGAACCACTTCTTTCACGTGGTAGAGCCGGACAGCGAGGCTTCGGACGTCATCATTTTTGGCTCCTCCCCCAAATGAAGCGAGCCTCGACACGCGCTTCATGGAAACACCTCCTTCATTACTCGACACAGGCTTCGAAGCCTCGGCACATCTCGTAACATCACTAGGTTTAAGGTGAGATCTAGAGTCTTTACGCGGCATGTAAGCTGCCCTGTGGACGTTCTAGTGGACAGGCTTGGCACGGTTCAGCCCGCTCGTTTACCAGCTCCACGGTCAGCTGTTGCAAACCACAATTACACCTAACCAGGCCAGTGCCAGAGATGATTAGCCGCTCGGATGCCTGGCGGAGTGGTCATCTCTTGTTACAGGGAAAGTGATCCTAGGCGGTCACGGTTCACTCTGTCCCCTGCTATGAGTCAGCCACCCCCCCCCCCCCCCCAGCCCTGATCAATAAGTACAGTACGCATGGTGCCCTGTAACAAAACGACAAGGCCCCCACAGTTGGTAGTGTGTGTCCGTGAGGCAGTGAAGGGGAGTAACAGATTACATGTACCAGAGTTGCGTAATCAGAGTACAAATTATGAGTAACTGTATTCAGTTACAGTTACTGTTTCAGTGAGTGGTAATTGGATTACAGTTACTTTGTTGAAATAAATGGATTACATAGCGGTATGTTCCTGTTTTTACATTTTGGGCTAAATCCCTTTTTTTTTTTTTTTTTTTTTTTAGTAATTCCACTCATTGCCGGACACTAAACCAGGACTAAAAACTAAGACTAAACCAGGACTAAACCAGGACTAAATCAGGATTGAACCAGGACTGAACCCAGGACTAAAACCAGGTCTAACCTAGATCTAAGCCAGGTCTGAACCAGGGCTAAACTAGATCTAAAACAGGTCTAAAACCTAAAACTCTAAAACCAGGTCTAAACTAGATCTAAACCAGGTCTAAACTAGATCTAAACTAGATCTAAACCAGGTCTAAACTAGATCTAAACCAGGTCTAAACTAGATCTAAACCAAAACTAGAAAACTAAACAGGATTTTAACAGGACGAAACCATTCTATCAATAATATTTTTAATTTGGTTAAGCAAAGTCTGGGCTTTTTATTTTCTTTTAGCAGACAAAACATCTTATGTGAAGATGTCCGAGTCTTTGCTTCTCTACAGAAAATCAAGTAATCCAAAGTATTCAGATTACGTTACTCACTTTAAGTAATTTAATGGATTACGTTACAAACTACATTTTGGGGTATGTAATCTGTAATCTGTAGGGGAATACATTTTAAAAGTCACCTTCCCAACACTGCCTGTAACAAAACGACATGGCCCAAACAGTTGGTAGCGTGTGTCCATGAGGTGAAAGTGCATCTAGTTGGTCCGGCTTCATAGCTGGTGTAGCTGGTAAGTGAATGACTCATTTCTGCTGATCAATATAGCGTATCGCCGTCATAAACCAGAGCGAGGTTGCCACATAATGATTGCCGGAGTGAATTTACGACTTTTAATTATCACGCCTGCTTACCACCTGAAAATACAGAGTTATAGGCAAGGGAAGAAAGTAACTAACTACAAATATTCGTAGATTTTTGAGGCAATTGTACATACTTGTAATTAGGGGTGTGCAAAAATATCCAAATATCAATATATCGTATCATTTAATGTGATGATACAGTATCGATATCGTGAGCTGCTGTACCGATATATCGCCAAGAGTATTTTCGTATATTTTTCTAAATTATTTTGTTGCAGCGCTAGAGTTTTCTTGTTTGTTTCATGGAAGGAAACTTGTTTTTGCGACACATTTGACATTTTCACTGTTTTGATGATTAAAATGTTTGTGTTTAGGAACTTTGAACAAGAAGTGGTTTAAGACTTTTAGTATCACAGACGTGACTTAGCCTTTATTTTTTACTGAACCGTATCAAATCTATGTGAAATATATTGTATTAAATCGTATTGAATCGAAAGCTCACTGTATCGAGGTCTGTATCATATCGTGGCCTGTGTATCGAGATATGTATCGTATCGTTGGCCTAAGTATTGAGGTTTTGTATCGTATCGTGGTTTGTATCGTATCGTTGGCCTAAGTATCGTGGTTTGTATCGTATCGTTGGCCTAAGTATTGTGGTTTGTATCGTATCGTTGGCCTAAGTATTGTGGTTTGTATCGTATCGTTGGCCTAAGTATTGTGGTTTGTATCGTATCGTTGGCCTAAGTATCAAGGTTTGTATTGTATCATGGCCTAAGTATCGAGGTTTGTATCGTATCGTGGCCTAAGTATCGAGGTTTGTATCGTATCGTGGCCTATGTATCGAGGTATTGTATCGTATCGTGGTCTATGTATCGAGGTATGTATCGTATCGTGGCCTAAGTATCGAGGTTTGTATCGTATCGTGGCCTATGTATCAAGGTTTGTATCGTATCGTGGCCTGTGTATCAAGGTTTGTATCGTATCGTGTGTATCGTATGTATCGTATCGTGGTCTGTGTATCGAGGTATGTATCGTATCGTGGTCTATGTATCGAGGTATGTATCGTATCGTGGTCTATGTATCGAGGTATGTATCGTATCGTGGTCTATGTATCGAGGTATGTATCGTATCGGCAACTTCTGAACGATACCCAGCCCTACTTGTAATGGAGTATAATTCTATAGTCATGTTTATATAATGACATTTTAAATCATAGAAGTCACTGAATACTGCACAGGTCCCAGTCCCAGATCAATATACTTTTAAGTAAGTAAGTACTTATTTTGGCAGTAGTACTTTTACTTGTAACTGAGATTATAATAAGCCATGTAACTTTACTTGAGTGCACATTTTCAGCACTTTTTTTCAACACTGTTTATAGGTAGATTTTAAGGCTCTATTTGACAAGTAGATTCAAGTAACAGTAGTTGGTATTTATTGTGTATTTGGATAGGGACAAATACACAAACATGGATGAAACATTCAGTAATCCGATGCAGGTATCACAGTGTTTATGTCCGAGGCTAATTCGACGCACCGGACCCCAGAAGTGCTTTTAAAACTGTTCACTGAAAATGTATCCAGAGAATCTAATATCAAAAGATCATAAACGTACATAACTGTGGTCCACTGTAATTCCAGCCCTCATGGTGGCTAATAGAGCGATGGGGAACAGGTGATGCGCACAAATCTAAGCCGTATTTGCGTAATGTAGGCTTTATTTGTGTAATTAGGTCTTGCGCGCTGTGTACTTTTCACCAGGGCCCAGTATAATTATCTTATGTCACTGGAGTTCACCAAACCGGAGCTGTGCCAGTGCGGATTATTTGCTGTTGTGGTGAGGGAGAGGGGACCGGTGTGAAGTGAAGGGACGCCTCTGCCAAATACTGCAGTCCGCAAACATCAGCTTAAAGTTACTCCACTCTTCTGATCACTGTTGATTCAAAGTAAAAGGTTTTGTTTTGCTTTGGGGAAAATATCTAATTGCGATTTCACGACAAACGCTTGTGTTTAGACGGTTTAATAAT